CATGATGTTATTCGTTACCATTCCAGAGGTATTCTTTTTACGTTTTTCTTTTTCATTTTTTATGAAATTAAAATTTACTTTACAAAGAGGGGAAAGCAATTTAAGGACGAGAATAGGAACAGCGGAAGAGGAAAGTTTCGATCAGAGTTTTGGCAAATTGCACGTGTTTTCGCTTTCAGCTGTGGCTGGAAGTCTGTTTTTCACAGAGTTGGCTTTTACTTGAAAAAAAAACGATTACGGCATTTGGAGTCATCCTGACTACGACCTTGATTAAAATCCACTGAATATAATAGGGGGTATTACAGTAATCATGAAAAAACGATCAATCTGCCGCAGAGAACTAAGGGAAAGTCGAAAAAGAAGAAGCCACCATAAAAAGTGTGCGCTGTTTACGGGGAGGCAGGCAGTAAAAGCGAGCCGCTTCCTGTCTTAAACACAAATATACGGTAGAGCGCTTCAATGCTTGCTAAAAGACGGTGGTACGGTAGTTTAGCGTGCGACGTTTGAGCGTGATGGCCAAGGATTCGATCCTCTTCCCGCTTATGTTCAAAAAGATGGCAAGAAGCACTCGAACGTTCGTAATAGAGGATGGTGTGTAAGGATCCACTGGAGATGTAGTACTAGGATATGGTAGCAAATGGAGCTCTCGAAAAATTGTTATGAACCCGCAGGGAAACGAACCGCCCCTTTTCAATTCGAACGTCATATACTGACCACTAAGTTGGGTCCTTTTGTTTTGCAAAGTTGGAGAGCATGTTTGATTTGTACATTACATTTTTGTCTGAATCGTTGATGCTGCTATCGTATGGAGCAGATAACCAGTTCTGGCCGACTTTTTGTGGGACTTCTGGGACAGAAGTGGTAAGATATCAGCTGAGGCTTAAAATAATTCAGGATTGGTATAGGATTCGAAATACTTTTTCTTCGCCGCTCTGATCCTATTACTTTAATATTGTAAGATCTCGCACTAATTATGTATGCAATTTAAAGAGTAAATCGAATCGTTTATGGTTAAAAAGTAAGAGCAGAGCTAAGCTAAAAGTAGACGAAGCAAGCTTGCCTCAGAGGGCCACGACGTTGTAACTGTGCACACTAAATAAATACAATCTCAAATTTTATCCAGTGGTTAGCCGATTCTCGAGGTGATCCAGAACGACTAAATCGAACATACGACATCAAAGTGATGAAGGAAAAGGATGTACCACGAGCAGATGAACTGAATACTGTTCTGGATTTCAAGGTTTTTTAAATATTTTTTAACGAAAAACGATAGGATTGTGTAACGATCTCTGTTTGCCCTTTTTTTCGGGATCGTTTTCGGTTCATGTCTCTAGATGCAAAGTTTTTTTCGAGAGGTTAATCTGCTTAATCTGTCATTTATCTATCCTTGGTGAAAAAAGTTGTCGGCAGTGACTGATCAAAATTAAAACTTCATCCGCATTACGTTTTACGAAAGCTGAGGCAGTCGGAACTGGCCCAATCTATAACAAATACGAGCAATAACCACCCTTTCTTTTATCGAATTTTTCTTAATGTCAAGGTGACGCCGAGTTAATTTGCACAGCACTACTGGTTCAAATAATAAAATCATTGTCGCTTATTTCGCAAATATGTATTTTATAAAGACTGACAAAAATTAGAGTTATACTAAATATGCCAAGAGTTCGATGAATGAGATTTATTTTTCTTGTGATAGATCCACATACTACATATTGATAAGTGATACTTGTAAGAAGCTAATTAGCATCCCTGACAATCTCGGCAGATCTTATGAGAGATAGGAAACTGGCATATTTGCACGTGCCATGCGGGTTTATCTCTTGGCTAGCACAAATGATTCGTATGCGTCCGGACTGCCTGTTTCAGCATTCTTTATAAATTCTTCGAACGCTTTTAGTACAGTAGATGAAAACGTGCTCTCGGGGTAATTCAGTAGAAAGCATCTATGAGTTTTCAGTACATACCAGTAACATCACATCTTCGCCTCAATTCTTATGGTGATTTGATAATCATGGTAAAATTCGTTGTCTTTTTTACAGGGCTATTTCGAGTACTCGTTATTATTTTATGGCTACTATAGTAGTGAGACCTATTTCGGCGATACGGTTCAGTACAGTGTGCCTGTTGCTTATTTCACCGTAAATCTATTTATACTTGGCTATAGCTTTTTTGTCATTCTGAGGAAGTGAGTTACAGTTTTTAGCTAAACGTTGTTATGTGATCGGTGCGCTGAATGCTGCATCTGAATGGCGGGCAGTCTCTTCCTCATGAGAATATTATGATTCGGAGGCGTAGAATTTGATTCCACACACAAAAATGAATTCAGTTTACATGTATTCTCAAATTCCTGATGAAACAAAAATGTATATTGGCAAGAAGTGAACGGTATTTGTACATGCATACGTATGTGCGGGCTTGAGCGTATGTGAACGTATGTGCGTGTATGTATGTATGTATGTATGTATGTATGTATGTATGTATGTATGTATGTATGTATGTA